CACCATTGTTTCCCCCTCCAATCAGGCACACAACCTTGGCGTAATCTTTGACCCCACCCTCTCCCTCGAACCTCACATCCGCCAAGCAGTCAAAACCTCATTTTTCCACCTCCGCAATATTGCAAAAATCCTACCCTCTCTCACCCGCCCCGCAGCCGCAAGACTAATTCATGCCTTCATTTCCTCCCGCCTTGATTACTGCAACTCACTTCTTTACGGCATCAGCACTACATCCCTCAACAGACTCCAACGGGTTCAAAATGCAGCTGCACGTCTCCTCACGCATACCAAATCATGGCATCACATCACCCCAGTCCTCAAAGACCTCCACTGGCTTCCTGTCTCCCATCGCATCAACTACAAAATTCTGGTCCTCACCTACAAAGCACTCCACCATTTGGCTCCCCATTATCTCACAAACCTTCTCACTCCTTATCAACCCCCACGGTCCCTCAGATCCACCGCAGCCGGACTCCTATCCATTCCCACATCCACACTCTGCAGCTTTGGGGACAGAGCCTTCTCAGTGGCAGCTCCTAGGCTCTGGAATTCCCTCCCCCAAGATCTCAGTGACTCTGAGTCCCTCACAGTCTTTGAGTCCCGCCTCAAAACACATCTTTTCAACTCTGTCTACCCATAAGCCCCCCCCCTCTCAATCAACTTCCTCTTGACAGCCTTTTTATTTTTTTATTTTACTATACTTACTTGTTTGCCTGTCCTTGTTTGTCTAACCTCCCTCATATTGTAAAGCGTCTTTGAGTTGTGAAAAGCGCTATATAAATAAAATGCATTATTATTATTATTATTATTAATGATGTATAGGATTTAGGGATAATTGGCGTGTAAAAGCTGACAAGTTGTTTTGTTGTTATTGTTTTCAGTGTGGCAAACGCTCTGGAGCTGAAGGACCATTTGAATAAACAAACCAAGACCCTGTCAGCAGGACTCAAGAGGAAGGTCAGAACACGTCCAACATTTCTTTACAAAGCCACTGCAGTTAAAATTGTAGAGTTGTACACATTCAACCCGCTCAACTTCCTGCCAAAATGATGTGTTGTAGGGACCAATTTGCATCAACAACTTCTCATGTCCAAACTGACCACCCTGCTGTGTTTTTTCCAGCTGTGCTTTGCTCTGAGTATGATCGGGAATCCTCAGATCGTCTTACTGGATGAGCCGTCCTCAGGGATGGACCCCAAGTCCAAACAGCGCATGTGGTGAGGCTCTTCTGCATTACCATTCTCCTACTTTACCAGGTTTGAATGTTAACCTGTGTTAAATTTGATGTCAAAGGAAAAGGTTGGATTCATTTTCTTGTTTTATTTTTTCTTGCACAATGTTATGCCTGGAATAGTGCATTTATAATAATTAAGACGCATTTTGTAGAAAACATCTCTTTGACATTTTCACATAAAAAATTCTGGCTTTTACAAAAATATATCACAATAAAATCCAATCCTTTATTGTTGTTTGAAGACTTCACATCTTTTTTTAAGAGATTTTCAAAGGGGGAATCCTGGCTTAAAATGCCAAAGATTTTATAAAGGCAATAAGAAACGAGAAAAAAACATAGTCACAGAAATAGAGGCTAAACTACTATAAAATAATACAGAAGAAATACTTTCTGAGATGGAAAATAATTTGAAAGAAGAAGTACGATAATTAGGTTTTGAAACTAAAAAAGTCTTGTAAAAGAAATAGAATTGAGCAATTACTGGATATAAAAAATGTAAAATAAAATACACTTGGCGTTTAAACTTGACACTCGTTCATTTTGTATGTTATTTCTGTCACAGTGTTCGATGTAGTTTTCCTTTGTGATGACCTTGGTCACAGAGTAGGCTCGGCTCTGGAGCATGACTCATTGATTATTCTGCTGAAGGACACTTGGTAGTGGAGGTGTCTTCATTTGAAGCCTCTGACAAAGGTCTCTGCTTTGTGTAGGAGGGCCATTCGTGCTGCCTTCAAGAACCGTCAGCGGGGAGCCATCCTCACCACGCACTACATGGAGGAGGCGGAGGCCGTGTGTGACCGCGTCGCCATCATGGTGTCCGGACAGCTCAGGTTAGTGCGTTAGTCTGTGATGGTGCGTATGCTGAAGGAAAGGATCCCTGAGTCACTGCTTTTGATTTTCTCTCTCATCAGATGCATCGGCTCTATCCAGCATTTAAAAGGGAAATACGGTCGCGGCTACAGTCTGGAGGTGAAGCTCAGAGAGGAGCTGTCGGGGCTGCAGCCGGTGGCGCTGCTGCACAAAGAGATTCTCCGAATATTCCCCCACGCTGCCCGGCAGGAGAGGTATATATAATACTCTGTAGTTTTTCATATATTCATTGTCCAAAGTGTTTTCGCTTTTTAGGTTATTTTGTATATTTTAAATTTGGTGTTACTACTTGTCTTTATTCTTTTTTTAATGCTAAAGAGTTTATTTTATAAAATTACTTTCTTTTTTATTATGTTTATTTTTTCTTATACCAAAACAAATTATATTAAATCTGATTCTGATAGCGGAATACATCCATGTGTGTATCGAAACATGCAAATAATCCGAACAAAACGGGAAGAAAGGGAGCATATTATGTAGACTATGAGACAATATAGAGTGAAAATGTAAGCAAACTAAATGTGAAGGATAGGCAGAATAGTATGCACACTAAGAAGGAAAAAGTGGAGCACAAAAATTAGATGAGTCCCTTTTTTATATTGAAGTATACATATTGTCACGGTTTCCTTCCTTTGTTTTCTATCAAATCTTAAACAGACAGTTCTTACGCTTTTCCTTCAGATTGGTTCTACTCACATTTGGGATGACTTGTTTGGCCTCTGGTGTATGTGTGTTTACTCAAAATAAAATAATTATCCTTTCACACATTCAACAAGGAAAACAGGCCTTAACAATAGTTAGAAAACAAATCAAACAAAAGAGGTAAAACTCAAATAAAATAATAAAAACGTAAGTGGTCTTTCTTTCTTTCTTTATTGGTTTATAACTGGTATAACTTTAACGGTAACTTAAACGGTTAAAATCTGTGCTTCGACTAACGTCATGACTACAGATCACAATTAAGTGGCGCTTTTTATAAAACAAAAGACTGGCTCTAACACATATTCTACCCATTTTACCAAAGCAACACTTTTTCTAATTCCTTGGTACTGTAGTGATTTGTGGGAAATATAGCCTCTACTTGGAACACACATGCAAGTTCTGCTAAATACCGCTAAAACTACATTTGCCTTTAATCATATATGTTATGCCTCGTCATTATTTATTACAAGTGAACGCCTCACAATGTTGATACATTCTTTCTATGCAGCTTTGCAACTCTGATGGTTTACAAGATTCCCAAGGAGGATGTCAAATCTCTGGCAAAGGCATTCTCTCAGTTAGAGAGTGGTGAGTCACACACACACACACACACACACACACACACACACACACACACACACACACACACACACACACTGAATCAATTGGAGCCATATCTGCTGAGTCATTCAATGTCATTAATATTCCTAATCTCTGTTTATCTTCAGCCAAGCAAAACTTCAACTTTGAAGACTACAACTTCTCCCAGTCCACCTTGGAGCAGGTACAGTGTGTTGTTGAGAAATGAACTGCAGTTCATGGTCACATTTATCACAGATGGAGAATATCTGCACTGGACTCTTATGATCTAGAGCTGTCACATCTTATAGCATTTGGGAAATGTGTAAAAGCAACCATATGTATAACATGACTCATCATGGGATCTAAACAGTGCATACTTAAAGAGCAACTTCCAGGTTAAAGACACCTGTGAATAAATGTGTAGGAAAATGATGAATACACTAGATTTTCAAAGAATTATACAGAAATATACACTACAGTGACATCTGGCGTCGTTTTTGTAAGAAATGTTCACTTCTGCATAAAAAAGCCTCGGCACGTGACCTCCCGCGTGTGACGTAACACGGGGGACACAAGGGGGAGAGCGGCCGGTGTAACGTATTAATAAACATGGATCCCAATGCTAGTTTCGAAACAGAAGACACAGAAGAAGTTGAACATGAATATTCAAATGCATATGACGGACCACAACCTTATAATTATGAGCCTGCTAGGCGTCCAAGAGACCAGGAGCAGCCAAGGATTAGAAGAAATAACGGCCATCGGAGAGAAATTGAGCTGTGGTGTGAGGAGAACCAGTGGAGAACTGGGCAGCTATCTTGGTGAGTGACCGGCGTTAGCTTCAGAATGTTAGCTAACGTCACATCACAACATTGTAAAGTTAGCTATCATATATCAGGCTATAACTAAAGTAGCATTGATAATATAGTAACGTTACTGGCAGGACTGTTGATACTGATCCATAACAGAAACTAATGCGCAAGTATCAGCCGTATCTCGCGTTACCTAATGCAACTCCACACTACGGTGCTGTGTACCGGGGGGGAGAGAGAGAGAGCAGCGAAGGGGGGGGGGAGAGAGAAGTAATACGGTTTCCTCTGATAAACTTACCTAATACACACTTCCACAACGTAACCTTCTGAGGCTTTAACGGAGG